TGACGTTATGTCTTTATAAAGACGATGTGGGTCTTGCTATAGACAACGTATCACCCGGGCGTTCTGGATGCGGTCGTTACCTGGCGCTGGGTGATGGTCACGATCGCTGCCTCTCGTGCCTGGGCACAATCTTCTGGAGAGGAAGATTCAGCTGCGTTGCTCTCCTCCGTAGCAATGCCTGGATCGGATCCAGAAATAATGGCTATGCTTTCCCGGGCCGCCGTAGGGGAGCGCCCCGCCTCGGTGCCTTTCTTCCCGGAGGTGCATGAGGAGCCCAACAGGTCGTGGACGGCACCTTTTTACTGCCGGAAACTGATTTGCTGGATCCTCCTCCCTCACCACCCTCGATGGTGGGGCAGCTAGGGGGTTACAAGGGTCCATCCGGTGGAGCGGTCGGTTGCGATGCAGATGTGTCCTGATACTGCCTCCAACGGGCAGGGAGAACCGTGCCTCCCCTCCCGGGTCTGTAGGTAGCTTATAAAATGTAGTAATATGGCCATCAACCTCTCACTGCCTAACTAGTTTTACAGAGGACAGTCATGGCTAATGCTAAATGGTTTGGTATGTTTCAGGTGAAGCATCTTGGAATCTACTTCATCTCCTCCCAGGAGTTTCTCGCTAATGCTTACGTCCTCGCCGTGCTGCTGTTCTTCGCTCTGCTCCTCCAGAGGACTTTCCTCAAGGCCTCCTACTATGTTGCCATCGAGACTGGAATCAACCTGAGAGGAGCCATTCAGGTCAGTGCAGCGGAGACTTCATTGACTGCACAAATTTTGATTGCCAAAGTCCCTTCAAATAATATGATATATTCGGTTTCACTTCCAGACAAAGATCTTCAATAAAATAATGCATCTCTGCACCGCCAACATGTCCATGGGGGAAATGACAGTGGGCCAGATCTGCAACCTCGTTGCCGTAGACACCAACCAGCTGATGTGGTTCTTCTTCCTGTGTCCCAACCTGTTCGCAATGCCAGTTCAGGTAAAGCCTTACACAAGGTTCCTTTCTCCATAGAGTTCAATGCATTGGGGAATGATGGTGCAAGTCTGTGAATGGGCCTTGAGTCAATTGTTTCAATCATATTGCCGTATTCAATTCCAACATGTCCAGTGCCAGCAAGAGTCAAAGTAATTCTGAATTAAGATCTTATCTTAACTTGACTATTTTAGAGATTTGGATTTCTGTTTTCCTGAATATAAGATACTGTATAGTCAGTGTCCTTAATTTATTTCTATCAGAGAATCTACATATCCCAGAATTTACACTGGCAATCCAGTTACATCCCAACACTGCAGCAAAATTGGTTAATGTATGTAATGTAGTCTAGATTATAGACCACATTATGTTACATATAGACACTTTAGGTTATAGTGTTTATTTGTTTATTTTGCGTTGTTTTGTTTGCTTTGCTTTTTTGTTTCATTTTTGTTTTATTTCATGTTTTGTTTTACTTAGTTTTTTTCTTTTGTTGTTTTTTGCTTTGTTGTCTTGTTTTGTTTTTGTGTTTCTTTTCGTGTTTTGTATTTTGTTGTCTTATTTTATTTTATTTTTCTGCTTTGCTTTTTTTGTTGTTTTAATATTTGTTTTAGTTTTTTGTGAGTTTTGTTTTCCTTTTTGTTTAGTTTTTTTGTTTTTGTTTTTTGCTTTGCCTTTTGTGTTTTGTCTTGATTTTGTCTTGTTTTGTTTTTTGCTTTCCTTGCTTTGTATTGTGTTTGCTTTGCTGTGTTGTTTTGCTTTGCTTTATTTTATTTTATTTTATAATGGTCTTGTCATTTATCCGTTTAAATTTATATTAATACGGCTGTCAGTACATAAAACATTTTAATGTGATTAATCTTGTCATTTTTTCAAAAAATAGGGGCGCAGGTGGCTTCCACAGGACACTGGAAGGGGCAGTAGCTGTGGCCCTTTGGTAGGATCCCAATTTCGTCGGTCATCCGACGTGACGTCAAGAGTGACCGACTGAAAGGGAAAGTCTCGGTTACGTATGTAACCCTCGTTCCCTGAAGGAGGGAACGGAGACGTCACGTCCCGTCGCCACGGCTCCTGTACCACCGCTGAGCAGCCGGGTCACCGGCTCGGCTCCTCAGCGAAAACCTGAATATGCGCTGCACCTGCTGCCTACTTATACTCACGCTGTGATCAGCAGCAGCTGGATGCAATAATCGCATGCCAATGTGCATTGGCTCGTTTAGTTTACACTCGAAGTAGATTGGTCCCTCTAAGCGAGATCCCAATTTCATCGGTCCTCCGACGTGACGTCTCCGTTCCCTCCTTCAGGGAACGAGGGTTACATACGTAACCAAGACGTTAAGCTTATAAAATGTAGTAATATGGCCATCAACCTCTCACTGCCTAACTAGTTTTACAGAGGACAGTCATGGCTAATGCTAAATGGTTTGGTATGTTTCAGGTGAAGCATCTTGGAATCTACTTCATCTCCTCCCAGGAGTTTCTCGCTAATGCTTACGTCCTCGCCGTGCTGCTGTTCTTCGCTCTGCTCCTCCAGAGGACTTTCCTCCAGGCCTCCTACTATGTTGCCATCGAGACTGGAATCAACCTGAGAGGAGCCATTCAGGTCAGTGCAGCGGAGACTTCATTGACTGCACAAATTTTGATTGCCAAAGTCCCTTCAAATAATATGATATATTCGGTTTCACTTCCAGACAAAGATCTTCAATAAAATAATGCATCTCTGCACCGCCAACATGTCCATGGGGGAAATGACAGTGGGCCAGATCTGCAACCTCGTTGCCGTAGACACCAACCAGCTGATGTGGTTCTTCTTCCTGTGTCCCAACCTGTTCGCAATGCCAGTTCAGGTAAAGCCTTACACAAGGTTCCTTTCTCCATAGAGTTCAATGCATTGGGGAATGATGGTGCGAGTCTGTGAAATGGCCTTGAGTCAAATGTTTCAATCATATTGCCGTATGATATACCCACATAAGAAGAGATGTTGCTTTCAATTCCAACATGTCCAGTCCCAGCAAGAGTCAAAGTAATTCTGAATTAAGATCTGATCTTAACGTGACTATTTTAGAGATTTGGATTTCTGTTTTCCTGAATATAAGATACTGTATAGTCAGTGTCCTTAATTTATTTCTATCAGAGAATCTACAGATCCCAGAATTTACACTGGCAATCCAGTTACATCCCAACACTGCAGCAAAATTGGTTAATGTATGTAATGTAGTCTAGATTATAGACCACATTAGGTTACATATAGACACTTTAGGTTATAGTGTTTATTTGTTTATTTTGCGTTGTTTTGTTTGCTTTGCTTTTTTGTTTCATTTTTGTTTTATTTCATGTTTTGTTTTACTTAGTTTTTTTCTTTTGTTGTTTTTTGCTTTGTTGTCTTGTTTTGTTTTTGTGTTTCTTTTCGTGTTTTGTCTTTTGTTGTCTTATTTTATTTGCTTTGCTTTGTGTTGTTTTAATATTTGTTTTAGTTTTTTGTGAGTTTTGTTTTCCTTTTTGTTTTGTTTTTTGCTTTGCCTTTTGTGTTTTGTCTTGATTTTGTCTTGTTTTGTTTTTTGCTTTCCTTGCTTTGTATTGTGTTTGCTTTGCTGTGTTGTTTTGCTTTGCTTTTATTTTATTTTATAATGGTCTTGTCATTTATCTGTTTAAATTTATATTAATACGGCTGTCAGTACATAAAACATTTTAATGTGATTAATCTTGTCATTTTTTGAGTTTTGAAAAAAAAAAGTTTTTATTAAAAATAAGCCTTTTGTGTAATTATTGGGTTTGGAAATTTGTGTAGATGACACTCATAACATAAATTAATGCAAGAATTCATTAACAGGTTCAAAATTCACAGGGAATGCAAACACAGCATGTCAATGCAAATATCAATGCTATCAAATATCAATGCAAATATGCAATATTTCAATAATTAAAAAAGAACTTCCCCAACACTTTGGATTACTGGATGTAATCTTACATGTGTAAAATAAATTACCAGTAAATCAGTCAAAGTTTCAATGTAATTTCTCAACACACTGACTCTTACCTTTGAATGGCATGATTTCGCTAGAGCAGACGGATCTTGAGCTGAACAAAACAAAATTTAAAGATGTTGCAAAGCCACTCAGTATTCTTCACACTCCTTCTGCTACTGAACGTGTTTCTCCTGAGGTTAGACAATGTGAAATGTCAGATACATCTGCAAGATCTATTTTTAGTCTGTGTATAACAGTATATTTGTCCTTGAAAGCCTCATCTTGTGAAAAATAGAGTGTCACTTGTGGAAATCTGTTTCTTTGTCAGTTGGGCTCTTGAATGATTTAAATAAAAATGCATTCATTGATGGCAAGGTGAAAAATTCAACAAGCCCAATAATTAAGTCATTAAATTACTCTTGAAATAATGAGAGTCCTAGAGAACTTTTGTTGTGAAACAGATTGCATATACACGTATACATGCACATTTGATTCTCACAAACAGGAAGTCTCAAGACAGACTAGGAAGTTGAAGTCCCTATACGTTTTGTATGGCACGTACTTCGCTCTCGGGGTTACTCATGGCTGCCTCTGGGCAAATCTTGATTAGTTCCCTAAAGCAACAACATTTTTTTTCACTCACTGCATATTTAATAACGAATCACATGCTCCATTATAAATTCTTCATTATAATACTACCTTATAATACTATTGTCTAATAATATTTTCATGTTACTTTAAATAAATAGGTTTAACATTGTTAATTAAATGTGTTTATATATGATAATATAAAGTTTTAACTATTATATATAATATATATTATATAAATATTTATATAATATATATTTATTTTACTATATTTAATTATTGTTATTATTCTTTATTTTATTATTTAAATAGTTTTTAGTAGTTAGTCGTTTTTATTTATCATTTAATTATGTAATATGTTAAACTTTATTAATTAAATGTTTAACTCAAAAAAATGTAACACATTTACAGAATTATAATATTAAAAGTTTTAATTATTAGATTTAGAAATTATCAAATATTCATGAAATGTGTTCAATTGCTGAGTTATTATGTTGTGAAGTGTATTGTGTGTGGGTGTGTGTGTGTGTGCGTGTGTATATGTGTATGCTATAGTTTATTTTTTTAGTTTTTAACAAGAAATAAATAAAAACTTAGTCTGCATATTATTTTATTCTGTCCTCTGTAGAACTGCCATGTTATTTTAATAATGATATTTGTGAGGGGAAAAAATGGGTAGAATAAATAAGACACAATGTCAATGTAAAATAAAGTAAATATTTTCCAGGTAGTATTTTAATAATTTGCTTTTGTGCAATGCTAATATAAAAGACAAGTATTTAATTAAAAAAAAATGTGTCTGTATAATAGCATGGTTAATATTTTGCTCACACTGTATAAATAGGTCTTTATAAATGAAGAAAATACAGCTTCTTTTATATTTTATAAAGGCGGATCATCATACTTGGGGATCCTTGGCATCAAAAAGTATAAAAATCCTGCACTAAGCTTCCCTGCTTCCCTGATTATCAGGCATTTTGCCATAAACCTTATTTTTATCACTAACTGTGAAAAAAGTGCTACTGATTATGAAAGGATGAAAGGATCTCTTGGTTTCAGATCATAGTGGGAGTCATCCTCCTGTACTACCTCCTGGGAATAAGTGCCTTGATAGGGGCCACGGTCATCACCCTCCTGGCTCCGGTGCAGTACTTTGTGGCGACCAAGTTATCAGATGCACAGAAAAGCACATTGGTGAGCTCATTTCTTTGTTTGATGTCTTAACCTGCAGTCAAGTGACAATCTAGTGCAAATACAGCTTTTGTTCAAATACAGATGACATTTGTACAGGAAAGCCAGAGCAGTCCAAATGATAAACCTGTCAAATATTGAACTCAAATAAGACGCAGGAGATTTTAGGAGCCTTTAGCATTGTTACTAATGTATCATTTATGTGTCGAACGCTCAGGAATATTCCAGCGAGCGGCTGAAGAAGACCAATGAATTGCTGCGGGGTATCAAACTCTTGAAGCTGTATGCCTGGGAGCACATCTTCTGCTCGAGCGTGGAGGAGACCCGGCGCAAAGAGCTCACCAGCCTGCAGACCTTTGCCCTCTACACCTCCATATCCAGTAAGACGCCTCAGCTTTCACTGTTACCTCAGATGATAATAAGACAGACTAAGAGCAACCATGTCACAGGGTTCTTAGTATTAAAGCAAAAGCAACACCTATTTTTCAGTAAATATTGGTTAAAACTCTGTGCAGTTTTAACACTCGCACTCTCAATTGTATCAGCAGCAATTTTGTCAAGAACGTGAGATGTCAGCCTCATTTCAGCCCTGCTTGCTGGAAAGTCAAAACTTAATATGCATAATCATAATCATATGGGGCGGGGGGATAAAAGAAAATACATCATTATTAATGGATTGGTGTTTTTTTTTGAAAAGATGGAAATGCTTCAAGGCTGAGCCAGGCTCAAATTTTATTATCAAAACATCCAATAATTTTTATTAAAGAATGCTAAATATTTTAATAAATAGAGGTAAGAAATACAGCCTTTAACAAACATCCAAAGCACTGAAAACTACAATCAAGAGCTGCTGACTGCATCTGTGGAGTGTTTGTGCTGCTCTCTAAAGGCGCTCTGATTTAAGTCAAGGTTACACCACAAAGGCCTCGTCTCTCTCTGATCTCTTTTCGCAGCATTTTTGCGACATTAGCAATATTGGAGAAGGACTGTGTTGCTCAGCAGGAGAATATCCTGCATGCGGTGCTGCAAAGAGACTTCAGGTTCATGTATCATTCAGTCTGAATCACTGCTTGCTGCAGAGGATCAGTGAATTTGGATTAAAAAAAAGGGTAAAAAAAAAACCTGTCAGACAGCAAAATCAGTTGGAGAAGGAAGTCCCATCAATGTGATTAAGCTGTAGACCAGCAGCAGTGTGAATTACTGCGATAGCAGTGAAATATCTGACGGCACAGTCAGCAAACCCAGCAGATCTCAAAGGATATGATCACTTTGATGACACTTTTATCAGACAGACCCTGTAGTTATTGAAATAAAAAAAATTGAACTCTGGATTGAACTTGTCAAACCTTTAGGCACAAATTAATTTGAGGTTTAATGGCGTTTCTGGCTGCCATCAGTCCTTCCAGCACATACAGCTCACAGCAGAGCAATACACCACGTCAGCAGGTACGACTGCAGCTCATTTCTTCTCTGTGTACCCTCTCTGTCAGTGTCGTTTGGTTTGGAGGAAGTGGCGAAAACTGTTCAGCAGCAAATCCGCTCAGAGGCAAGAGATGGTGGTTAGTTACTACAGTTCCTGGTTAAACGTCAGGGACGCTTCAGTCAATATAGAACAAAAATCCCATTTATTTTCTTCTTAGAAATATTGATTTTTAACAATTCCTTTGAAACCTTTTAAGTCAGAAACACAGTGAGCTTCCAAGGTTATTAATAGCCAGCAGTGACCACCTGCTTCCTGAAGAATTATGAATTGATTGATTGAATCAAGATGCTCATCCCAGACTCTAAAGGGGGTCGCACAGCGGACGTGTCGCGTTGTGCCACGTCTTTAAAATTTGAACACATTGTGTTATTAATATTAAGCAGCACAACTGTTTTTAACATTGATAATAACAGATTATTATAGTTATTATAGTTTACAAAAACTAAAACCATAAAACACCATAACATAAAAAATACTTGAAATAAAGTAAACTTTGAACTACTTAAAATAAAATATTAAAAACATCTATCTATATGTCTGTATAAAAATAAACCAATGACAGCGCACCATTCCACGCACTGTAAACAGTAACAACCAATCACAGCGCACCATTCCACGCACTCTAGACAGTAATGGCGGTGCTTTGAATACACCCCGCATCCTAGTTTTCCTCATCTATTTTGTACTTTGTGATCAACAAACAACCAAAAAAAAATTAGGGTCATTTGTCATGTCATGCGCATCTCGTCAGTAAAGCCGGTTCTGTGATTAATAGTAAATCTCCATCACGTGCTTTCAGATGGAGCGGCATTTAATACACAGAGCCGTATATCACTGCTATATCGCGGTCATAATTGCAGATGAGTGGCATTCGATTATGAACGCGATATTGCGTAGCTTGTCAGTGTAAGTGTTTTTATTAATGCCATTAATATTTTTGTTAATACAGCGAATATAGCGTATAGCACTAGTCAACTAAATGAATGTAACATGGCAAGATCAACTTACTATGTTGTATATTTTCAACAGCTTTAATATGAAAAATAACTTTTAGATTGATTCAATGGATTTATTGCATTTTGGGAAAAAATCTAAATCTGGATTAGAATTTTTAATGCTATTATAACCTAAAGATGCTATGTGAAAGTTTGAAACAGAAAATAGTGGTTTTCATCTTGCCACATTCTTGGTAAAGAAAACACATTTTTACTCAAATTAATCTAAATTGATTTATAGCGTTTTAGAACCAAACTCTTCATATACAGTGGGGCAAAAAAGTATTTAGTCAGCCACCAATTGTGCAAGTTCTCCCATGTGATTGTTTTATTCACTATTATTACCCTTTGCTTATTAATTTAATGCATTTATTTACTTAACAGTTCTATTTTCTTACTTATTTACTTAACTTTTTAACGTATTTTTCTTTTTACTTTTTAATGTATATATTTACTTTTAAATGTTTATTTTATTTTTTTAGATGTATGCACTTTTATTTGTTTAGCAATATATTTTGTATTTGCTACAAATATTTCCATTTTATCATTAAAAGTTAAGTTTTATTTGGTTTATTTTTCTTTCTTTATATAATTTATTTACGGTTCTTTTTATTTATTTACTTACTCGGTTAATTAATTGTATGTATTTATTTATTTTTATTGATTTACTCTTCAATGTGCATACTTATTTGCATTTAATTATTCATTTAGCAAAGTATTTTATATTTTCTATAAATATCAGCATTTTTCATAAAATGGTATGTTTTCTTGACAGTTTATTTTTTATTTTATTTTTTTAAGAGATAATTTACGGAAAAAAAAAATTGTGACCAGGTGGAAATGATACATATGCATATCATATGAATGTGTGATAATGAGAACACATAAACGTCAAAATGAGTGTTCAAAATCATACAGTACATATTTTTAAAAAATACGTTGTAGATAAAGCAAAGATTATTGCAGTAAGTTTTACAATAAAATAATATTTACATTTTCTCCCTTAAATTTCTCTTTTAATTCAAATTTACTAGCAATTTCTGAGTAAAAATGGTTTCAAATTAAATTTTTCACTTAAAGGGTTAGTTCACCCAAAAATTAAATTTAGCCCATAAATTACTCACCCTCAAGTCATGCTAGGTGTATATGACTTTCTTCTTTCTCCCTTTATGGGTACTTGATTTCTCAATATTTTGTATGTAGTATAGCAACATATTCGAAAACTTTTTTTTTGTCCCTCTAGGGAAATTATTTCTCTACAGCAACATTTAATTTAGCAATGAAATCTGTTTTCAGGGCTTTAAGAGTTGGACAAGTATTTGTGTGCTTGTAGAAAGTCCTCTGAGCTTCCGGGATAATGGCAAGAGCATGAACGGTGTATGAATGGAGCAGTCACATGGCCGCGAGCGACTGAGCGGAGCACAGACACGCATAGAGCGGGATAATACCATACAGTCTATGGATAATACACACACGCATAGAGCGTGATAACACACACACACACACACAAGTGAATCATGAGCGGTGAACTAATTTTTGGGAGCCGGCATTTCTGTG